ATAAATGGGGCCGTTGTGTCAGGAAATGGGCGTGGTCGTGCGCAGAAACACCATAAATGGCGCTATGGGCGGGGCCACACTGCGGCCGCGGTTATGAATGAAGCAACAGCAGGACACCAATCAATCACTTTATTGATCAGCTTTATTGGGGAGTCAGCACCACTGCCACCCCCTGCCCCAACACATCAGCACCGCACACAGCATCTCCCCGCGGGGACGCCCGAGGCCCAGCCCCGCTGCCTTTGGGTGAGAACAGCTCCCCCGGCCCCGGGAAGGGCAGGAGAGTCCTGGCCCCACGCAAGTGCTGGTCCCTGGAGCAGCTGGGGCAGGGGTGGGAGGGCTGGGCTGGTCCCCGCTACCGGCCTGAGGCCGCCTCTGGCTCGTAGCCCTCTGTTTTCATGTCGTTCAGGCCCAGCTCTTCGTTCTGCTCAAAGGTGCGCTCGTAGCGCTGCACGCTCAGCTCCGGGTCCTCTTCTGGGGCGTACACGTTCTGTGGGGACAGGGGGAAAGCTCCTGCACTCCCCTCTGCCCACAGGGCACTGGTGCAGGCTGCGAGCCCTGCAGCCACCCATGAGCAGGGGCTTCAGCAACCTGCCGTGCCCAGAGCTCCAACACGGGCCAGGGAAATGAAACCCCCCAGACTGCTCAGGGAGCCCACGCCGAGGGCAGAGGCTGCACCTGAAGGTAACTGTTGCCTGCAGGGTCATCCATGATGAAGTGAGCCTGGGCCTTCCCCTCGATGATCTGCAGGAACAGAGCACATCCAGCCATTAAAGCTCTTCCTAATCCTTCAGCACTTCTGGCACCGGTGCAGAGCACGGAAAACCCAGAGGAAACTCACTTCCTGCAGCTTCCCAATGAACTCCTGCAGCTTCCCTGTCCTGCTGGGCGTGGAGCTGTCTCCCAGAGTGAAGGGGTTCTTCTCCACCTGCAAGGCAGGGGAGGCAGCAGTGAGGCAGCCAGCCCCCCAGCCAGCCCCAGGAGGGACAGGGAGGGGGCTGAGCCCC